TGTCTGTCTGTTCCACTAGAAGGAGATGTGCTAGAGACTTGAAATTTTCAGGGTATCTTAATGTCCACTCCTAGAGAACGAAACGCCTACGGCAAATCCTGGCAACCACCCCTAAAGGGCTAAAAGGGGGTATCAAAGAAAATAAGGTTGGTCAAAAAAGTCAGAAAAAAAAATATTTTTTTATGATCTCCTAAGGGGTAACTCGTCAAAGTAGAGCCCTATGGGCGAAAATTTCGTCCGTCTTGTTTGACGAAAATAAGTTAAAAATTGCTGTAGTGAACAATTAAATGTAAAAGAAGGCCCAAAACCACAAAAGAGGTAAGAAACTCCCTCCCCCCACCCCAAAAAACGTTGCCTAAGCAGAAGGGTGGGTTGTAGTCGCGGTGTTTCACCGTTACATCCCTTCCTTATGTCTACGGGGCAAATTTTAAGGACGACGGGCTTTGCGGGCCGAAGGCCCGTTACATCATTTGATTATGTTCTACAGCAAATCGCGTGACAGAAATGGTTGGGCCGCAGGCCCGACCATCGCCGCCGGCAGGCCAAGCAGGCCCGGCCCCTGCCGAACGGAGTTGCCGGCGCAGCGAAGCGAAGCTGGCAACTTCGTTTGGCGGAAGGGCGGGCCTGCTTGTTTTTACTCATTTTCAAAGCAGAAGGGTGGGGTGTAGTCACGGTGTCGCACCGTTTTCTCATGTGCAAGGAGCTAATCTTAAAGGCCCAAGTCCCTCCGGAAAGCCTAAGCTTGTTCGAAACATATATATAGTGACTCAGAGGTCAGGCCGCAGGCCCGACAAAAGGCAGCCGCCAGGCCAACTAGGCCTGGCCGCTGACGGACGGAGTTGCCTGAGGAGCGAAGTGAAGGTGGCAACTTCGTTTGCCCGAAAGGCGGGCCTGCTTGTTAATGTGTTCAGCCATCCCTTGTATTGAGAAATATAACCTCAGGTTCCATCTCTACACTTACAGTGGTTCAGAAACTGATTTCATTGACAAATGTACCAGAAATGCTTTTTGGGAGCTGAAATCCCCCAATGCAAGGTTGTTCACTCATTGTTTTCTCAGTTTTTTTTTCACACCTGTCTATGCCATATTTAAGAGATGTTAAAGAGCACCGATGAAACAAAAATCGTTCTCTTTTTTGTTCCTGTAGGGGTTCTACTCAGTATCAAATGTTTCGACCAATCATGATATCAGGAAGCCGCCAGTTTTTTTCTACGGTAAATACCGGGCAACTGGACAGATAATTCACACAAGAACGGGGACAATTATGTCTTGTTATCGAGGCTACTTCGCCCTCGTGCCAAGGACAAAGCAAAGTCAATAGGTTTGTACTTTTAACCGTAGAAATCATAACCAACTCCACTGATACATAGATTTTCCCTTGTTTGCTTTACAAGTCAAAAATATCAGAAAAATATCTACGTACGGCCCCGTGTGTTATTGTCAGGAACCGGGTACACGAATACGAGCTCACAGTAATTACCACTGCAAGTAACAACGATGCACCCTGATTGCTAACATTTACACTCAGCGTAGCTGACGGTGGAAATTTTTTGTAAGCTACGGTGCTGCAGGGGTTTGATGCAGCTTACCTTGAAACTCGCCGTAAGCTTTGGACAGTGTATCTGAGTGAACTATGCTACAGCCACAGAACGACAGTAATGCTATGCGATGACAAAATAATTGTAATTGATTATGTTTCAGGACCTACCGCCTAGTGCATACAACCGCTGCTTCTCAAGTGTAAAGCGCGAGCGTTCGGTGCTCGTTTGGTCCGAGGTGCGAGTGAGATGGCACCTCGCGCTCGCTCGCCACTGCACTGCGGGCTCCTGAGCAGGAGTACCTGACCACTCTATTCTGCTAGCAACTTTACCCGCACCAATCCAATTGCGGCAGAGTGATAACTATGATAATATTAAAACATTCGTCTCTTAAACAAAGAAGAGTAATGCCAAAGTCCCTTTACAAACGCTTTGTTAACTAAACGATAGCGAACTCTATTACTCCTCTGACGGAAAAAGTGTCATTCTGTTTGTGTTTGGCTGTTAGCCGAAGGATGTGAGGCAAATAAATAGCGTCGATTTGGGTTAGGATACTTTGTAATCTATTTTACGCATTCATAGACGATTACAATCAGGCTAAATACAGCCAGGAGCCCCAATTCTCAGACAAAATGCGAAAGAACGTTCAATTGAGCCTATAGGAGATATCTCAGCTAGTTTGTGACGAAATCAAAATCAAAAAACGGCATTGGAATAAGAAGAGTCTACTTGACAAGAATACATCCTGTTAGTATTAGTGCCCTAGTCATCGTCTAGTCATCGTCGGGGCGGGACCGACACACCCACAGTAAATCCATCCACAGAATGTGCGCGAAGTGAAAAGACGTCCACAGGTTTACATCCAATGATTTGGACGTTAATTAACAGGTGCATTTGTTACGTCCACAGTGTGGATGTACTTACAAGCCGTGTGAAGCTGGTGAAAATAGCTCCACAACATATGTTGTCATTTGTCTTTTCTTATTTACATCCACACGGATGACGTTCTGCTCGAGAGTGATCACTCTGAAAATCGAACAGCACGACAGTTACTCTTGTCACGAGAGAGTATTAACGTCTGTTCATCTCTTTAAACGGATTGATCTCCGACGTTGGAGCTAGACATGCCGTGCAGAGCCGTTCGACGCCACGGCAAGAGTTTCGGCGCAGAGCCACGCCACAGCCTAGGTCGGTGGCCTAGGCCGGAGGGCGGATTTTGCACTGTTTTAAGCAGAGAGGTGGGCTGTAATACCGAGGCTTCCTCGTCACATCACCTCCTCATGTCTATGATGCAAATTTTAAAGGGCCACAGGCCTGGCTGGGCGCCCAAGTTTGTAATACTATAAATATTAACTTAGAGGTTGGGCCTTAGTCCCAACAACCGCCCCGCCGGCAGGCGAAGCAGGCCGACCGCCGAACGAAATTGCCAGCTGAGCAAAGTGAAGCTATGGCAATTTCGTTTGGAGGAAGGGCGGGCCTGCTTGTTCATTCTGTCTTGAAAATGGGCTGAGCTAGGAGGAAACAGACAGTGGATTCGGCTCCGCCTTAGTTTTGAAGAGGAGGCAACATCTTGCCCTCAGTGCAGGGGCGGATCTGGCTCGCAGTTCAAGGGGGGGCAAATATTGCGGGTTGCCTACTTCCAGGGGCACTTTTATGTGCAAAAATACGTATTTCCCTAATTTTTATGATCTAAGGTCTGAAAATAGTTTTGGGCGCACAGTAAAATTTCCCTTTTGATATTTATTTTTAAAGTTGAAGCACCGTCGTGTATGCGGGAGAGGGATTTGCGAGCGAAGCGAGCGAAAATTTTTGTATTTGTACTTCTTTGGGTGGTAAATTTGAACGCTCAAGTTTCGTTTGAAATGCTTCAAACGAGTGCGAAAAAGATGTCCGTAATTGTGCAAGGCCGCGAGCGAAGCGAGCGAAAAAAATTGAGATAATAAGTGATCTGTAACTCCTTAGAAACCGCGAGCGAAATTTTTCTCAGGGTGCGCGGTTGGCTCAAAATATAGACGTTTAAATTTTGTTTCTATTGCCAGTTTAAAGTAATTAAAAATAATTGCTTTGTTCATTCATTTTCACCTATTGGGCAATGCTGCGCTCATTAAGCGGTATGCGATGATAGAAGCCAAATTAAGACAGCTGATGGGACATGCATGTTCGCTCCCTTCTTCCGCATCTTATAACGGTAAAAAGGCGGATATACATACAGCCTACCTTCTGGAAGTATATTTTTCTTTTTTTACTCCTTTTCCTTATAATTTTCCTTTTCTCCTATTTTTCCCGTTCTCTTTCGCTCTTCCTTCTCTTTCTCTCCCTTTCCTCTTTCTTTCCTTCTTTTTTTTAGGGGCGCCGGATCCCCAGGGGGGGCAACCAGCCCTTTGCCCCCCCCCCAAATCCGCCCCTGCCTCAGTGCATACGCCTGGCTGATTAGAGTTTCAAGATCTCATAATTGTTAGGAGCATTATTTTATCGCCCAGAGACCAGCAGATAGCGGTCCTCAGTGTGTCCGCTTCAGTGTAAATCGACATTCACGAAGAAACTGACAGACAGGCCTGGTACGATGCTTAAGACGTTGCTCTTCGTTGTTGCCATGGTGGCACTGTCACAGGTGCGTTATTTTTCGACAGGGTATCCGGGTATCCCACTGCAAGACGAATAGAACCAATAGAATAAATGCATCACTGCTTGATTTGTTCATCCGGAACGCTGCTAGGTCGTCGATGACGCAATAAAAATCTAACTCAGACTGATTGGCTTTAGAGGGGTTGTTCTTCCATGTTTCTATTCGCGACCTATTTTATGACTTTGCATGCAAGTATTCAATTTCTTTTCGCTTGTTTTCTGTAAAATGAGCCTGGCGAGATGTAAAGTCAATTGGACGTAGTTTTGGTTCCAAGGATCAACCTCTCAGAAAGATATGAAAACATAATTTCCAAACGATATTTTAGGACCCTTTGTTGTGATTTTTTGGGGGCTGATTGATGCTGATCTTTGAACTTGATCTGTATTTTTATGACTTCTAGCTCAATTCCTAGTCGAAATATCATGAGGACATAATACGCAAGTAGGCTTCCTCATGGCTCAGCCAATAATTTTTCTTTTTTAGTTTCAACTTAATGAAATATTTCCGCCTGAAAAGGTTCTCTTGTTGAACATACCAAAAAGTTGGTACCTCAAACAGTTTTTGGGAAATCGGTCAGTCAATAATACGAATCGAGAGGCGGATTAAGCACCTTCAAAACTACTTATTCTAAGTAAGAATGTCACTTCGTTTGGAAGTCGATGGGCACCAGGCACCACCCGAAAGAGTTTGCAATCGGTCGGTTGATACCCCTGCGAGCTTACCCGACAGTCTTTTGTCTCTCTCCCTCATATCTAGGACGTTAGATGGGAGTGAGAGAGACAGAAGACTGTCGGGTAAGCTTGCCGCGGTATTAACCGACCGATTGCTAACTCTACACAAGCTCTAGAAATCACGATAAACGTGGTTCTTCTTCGTGAAATCGGTGAGCCTGGCGAGCCGTAGGCCGTGGGTCCGCTGTTTAGTACTGCCACTAGACAAGGGTAGCACCATCTTCGGTTTTTCAAGTGACTTATTTAAATGATATGCACTTGAAAACCGAAAGATCAAGTACAATATACTTGGTCCAAAACACATCGTAGTATAGGGCTAATAACGTACATATTTTAAAACCAATAACATTAACTTTTCATTTGACATATCGGGCGTATCTCATCGTCGACTTTTATGCGCGATGTTACTCTGGCTCAGAAAACCCAAGCGGCACCCGAGGACGCTGAGAACTGACGACTCTATGTGGAAGAGACACTATAGACCTTTGTCGCTTTGTCACACAAACCACCCTTAGTTGCCAACTGAATTACAGTGAAATTGTGACATGTTACACCGGCAACGTTCTGAGAATGATACGTACTGTTAAATTGTTTTTCAGGCTGCAGGTCCAACAAGCTCGATTGAAGGTATGTATACCCGGGGCAGGGGAGTCA